TGGCACCCCACATACAAGGGGCCTCGGGGTCGACCTCTGCCCCCCTGTCAACACAGACTGCGACCGGTCAGAGAGAAAGGAGGAGAACCACCGTAGGACGGTGCCCCCCACCCCTAACTCCTCTAGCCGGTGAAGAATGATACCATGGTCGATGGTATCAAAAGCCGCTGAGAGGTCTAATAGGACCAGGACAGAGGAACAACCCCTGTCCTGAGCCCTCCAGAGATCATCAACCAACACGACCAATGCCGTTTCCGTGCTGTACCCAGGCCTGAAGCCCGACTGGAACGGATCCAGATACTACGATTCATCCAGGTACTGGGGGAGTTGTCGCGCTACCACACTCTCAACAACCTTCGCAATGAAGCGAAGGTTGGAGACTGGACGATAATTTGCCAACACTGCCGGGTCCAGGGAAGGTTTCTTGAGGTTGGTTAAGCAATTTAGTTTATTGTTAAAAGTTAATAGAAATACCTTGTGTTCTGCTCTGGGAAGTCGGGGAGGGGGAGGGGGGTTGGGTGGGAGGGTTGTGGGAAAACTGTGTTTGTTTCACCAATAAAACTTTTTCAATTTAAAAAAAAAAAAAAGCCTTCCCTGGACCCGGCAATGTTGGCTAATTATCATCCGGTCTCCGACCTTTGCTTTGTGGTGAAGGTGGTTGAGAGTGTGGTTGTGCAACAGCTCCCCCAGCACCTGGATGAAACAACGTATCTGGATCCATTCCAGTCGGGCTTCAGGCCTAGGTACAGCATGGAAACGGCATTGGTCTCGTTGGTAGATGATCTCTGGAGGGCTCAGGACAGGGGATGCTCCTCTGTCCTGGTCCTGTTAGACCTCTCAGCGGCTTTTGATACCATCGACCATGGTATCATGCTGCACCGGTTGGAAAAGTTAGGGGTGGGAGGCACTGTGTTGCGGTGGTTCTCCTCCTTTCTCTCTGACCGGTCGCAGTCTGTGTTGACAGGGGGGCAGAGGTCAACCCCGAGGCCCCTCATATGTGGGGTACAGCAAGGGTCGGTCCTCTCGCCCCTCCTGTTCAACATTTATGTGAAGCTGCTGGGCGAGATAATCCCTGATTTCGGGGTGAAGTACCACCAGTACGCTGATGACACCCAGCTGTACATCTCCACCCCAGACCACCCCAACCATGCCCTTGAAGTGATGTCCGGGTGCCTGGAGGCCATGCGGATCTGGATGGGGAGAAACAGGCTCAGGCTCAACCCGTCCAAGACCAAGTGGCTATGGTTTCCGACATCCCAATATAGTCAGTTGGTGCCATCACTGACTATTGGGGGCGAATCATTGGCCCCCACAGACAGGGTTCACAACTTGGGCATCCTCCTGGATTCACGGCTGTCTTTAGAAGAGCATTTGATGGTCGTGACCGGGAGAATTTTTCATCAGGTTCGCCTGATTCGCTAGTTGCGTCCCTTTCTGGACCCTTACGCACGGTCATTCATGCCCTCGTCACTTCTTGCCTGGACTATTGTAACGCTCTCTACATGGGGCTCCCCTTGAGGAGCACCCGGAGGCTCCAACTGGTGCAGAGTGCGGCCGCGCAGGTGGTAATGGAAGCGACATGGCGTTCCCATGTAAGACCTCTCCTGCGCGAGCTGCACTGGCTCCCGGTGGTCTTCCGGGTGCGCTTCAAGGTTTTGGTTACCACCTTTAGAGCGCTCCATGGCTTAGGACCTGGTTTCCTATGGGACCGCCTACTACCACCAATAGCCTCCCACTGGCCAGTACGCTCTCATAGAGAGGGGCTCCTCCAGGTGCTGTCAGCCAAACAATGTCGACTGGCGGCCCCCAGTGGGAGGGCCTTCTCTGTGGGGGCACCTACTATCTGGAACGAGCTCCCCCCGGAGATACGGAGGATCCCAGATCTGCGCACCTTCTGCCGCGCTTTGAAGACCTTTTTATTCCACCAGGCGGGCCTGGCCTAATCTTTTCCCTCCTTTCTTTTTAATATGCAAATTTTAATCTGTTTTTTAAATGATTGGGGTGTTTTAATTTGTCTGGGCCAAATTGTTTAATCCGATTTTATCCTGTTTTTAAATTTTGTATTTATGTATTTTACTATTTGGCTGTTCACCGCCCTGAGTCCTTCGGGAGTAGGGCGGTATAATAATTAAAGAAAGATAAAGAAAGATAAAGATAAAGATGAGGATCACATTAAGTTTGAATTCGGCATTTTTATTGGAAACATCTTCAATTCAAAGAGATTAATTTAAGTAGGTAAACAAGGAGATTCTCAGGTGGCATGAATAATTTTTATGGCCCAACCCAAAATAAATTTAATTTTATACAAAAATGTACTATTTGGTGGTTCCCATTTGATCAGATGGGAGTTGCTGGAGAAAGGTTTTAATTCTCTCCTGGATCCACTGTTGGATCGGATCAAGATTTCTTTTTCTTTTTAAACACCCCCCACCCCTCCCAGACACAACTTTCTCCTTCTGTCCATCCAGGAATTTAATTTAATCAACATTTGGAGACCTCTCAAGCTAAAACAGCAGGAATACACAATACATTTTCTCTGCCTCACACTTTGATGTTCAAGATTCATTTTTAATATCACCTTTGATGCCTAATGCAGTAAAAAAATATGATCCAGATTTACATTTTTCTTTCTGATCAAGCACCCATAGAATCGATGCAGATTTTGGAAGATTTGGGATAAAAGTGTTGCCATTAGGGAGATGCTCCTTTGTTGCAGTCCATTGAACAAGAAACAAGACTCAGATATGATTTTTCCCAGAGAAATGGAGGCTGAATTGATTCTGGGGAGAGTTGAGGGAAGGTTGAGAGCCTCTCTTGGTGGCCAGAGAAAAGCTTTGGCCTCTCGGGGGAAGGAGACGCCCGGATCTCTCCGGAGAGAAAAGTCAGCTCAGAAGGGAAAAAAAAAAAAAAAATAAAGAGAAAATTCCCCCAAAGAGACTCAAGAAACATCCGATGATTTCAGGTCTCCTCAACTGAAACTGGACCAACCATTTTTTTCTGAAGCTGAGGAATCTCCTTTCCCTGAAGGGAAAATCCCCCCTGAGACCCACAAAAGGAGGGAGGGGGAGGGAGGCCCTGAGGGGCCCACAAAAGAGACACACTCACAACACCCACACAATTGGGAGGGGATTTTTGGGCCACTTTCAGGGGTCATCAAAAATCATTAGCCAAATTAGTAGAAGTGAGGAAATTTCCATGTTAAATATTGCTGGAATGAGAATTATTTCAAATGTGCCAGACAACAAGAATGTTGAATTGATAGTAAGAAATAATTAAATCTTGAATATTATCAATCAGGGGATTATTATCTCCAGAAATACATTCTCTTTGGTGGTAAAGATGTTTCAAACCATCTCTCAAATTGGAGAGAATATTGTTTATTTATTTACTAAATTATAGGCACCCAGACAAATTCCTTGTGTCTCCAATCACACTTGGCCAATAAAGAATTCTATTCTATTGTATTCTATTCTAAATTATAATATCCTATTCCAGGGTTGTGATCCTCCTCCTAGCTTTGCTGGGAAGAATTTAGGAGTGAAAATGAATTTTACCTCCAAATTAAATATCTGGAGAATAAAATCTCTGTCGGTTCTCCTGAAATGTTCAATAATTTAGGGAAGGAGCAAAAGGATCTCCCTCTAAAAAATCTTTCTCTCTTAGGATGGGCTGTTTTTATTCTCTTATGGAAGAAATGTCTTATTTCATTCTGTGGCAAGAGATTATGTTTCCAGAGTTTCCTGGGCTCCCAATGGGAACCTGAGATTTAGGCAATTCTTAAGTGGGGATGCTTGAAAGGTTTTCCCATCAAAGGGGTAAAATTTCCCTGGAAAGGCCGAATTGCAAAAGGTGCAGCTGAAATCCTTGGTTTCCACAATGCTTGGCCTGTGATTCTCTTATCAATTGAGAGAAATAAATAAAATTATGATTACACAGAGAATGTAAATTACAAAAACAAATCTCGGTAATATGCAAGGAATCTGACAGAGAATTAAAGAATCCCTGCTTCAGAGTTGAATGGAAGGAGGATGTGTTTCTTAGGACCTAAAATTCAGATTTAAGGTTTGTGGGAGTTTTTGGACTCTCCCCCACAAATCCGGAGCCTCCCCAGGAAGGAAGACGGGAGGGATTTGGCTGCAGGGGAAGCCGAGTCTGTGAGCAAAAAAGGGGCTTCAAGGGGGGCTTTTCTCCCAGACCCCCAAAATCGGCTGAAGGAAAATTCTCAGCCTCTGAATCAGCTTCTGCTCAAGGCAAAGGAAACGCCAGACCAGGATTCCGCCTGATTAGGGTTTGATTCACAATGATAAATTCTATCTGGATTGATTGATTGATTTTATTCTTTAGTTTATTTATTGCTATTATTAGTTCATTATTTATTCTATTATTTAGTTAGTTTATTATTTATTAAATTTATTTTATTATTTAGTTAATTTATTATTATTCTTTCTTTCTTTAGTTTATTTTATTAGTTATTTATTTTATTTATTAGTTATTTATTTAGCTTTTCATTTATTTATTTTTCATTTATTTATTTAATTTCTTTATTTAATTTTATATATTTGTTTATTTTACTTGCTTACTTATTTATTTATTGGATTGAAAAGATGCCGGAGTGGAAATGACTCCGAATAAAGAATAGAGAGAACGGAGACCTGGAGAGAAAGGATTTCATGGATTCCCTTTGAAGATTCTTTTTTTTTTTTATCCTAAAATCCCAAAGGCCCAGAGAGGGAGGGAGACCCCCCCTTACTGGCCTTCTGGAAAGGGGTCCCAAGGGGGCTCTGGGGCTTTGCTGGGGGGGGGCAGAGAGGGGGAGGCAGCCTGAATCCCCTGAAGCCTTTTAATTCGTCTCTTCATCAATCAATGAATTGATTTTTCCACTGAATTGGAGTCATCCTTGCTTTTGAAAGAACCACTAAATCTTCACACGGGAGAGTCTCAATCAAGGGAAGGAAAAGGGGGTCCCCTCCCCCAAACTCTCTCCCCCCCCCCGAACTCACCTCTCCGGCCAATCACAGGGCCGCCCTGGAGAATCTCGTAGTTGTTCCGGCAGAAGCGATCCACGGAGTCCTTCTGGTACTGCAGGCGCTGCTCATCCCTGTTCCACCTGTCCACATCGGGCTGCACCAACGGAGTGACGGCCACGAACTTCCCGAGGTCGCTGTCGAAGTAGCTGATCTCCTGCCGGTCGTAGAAGAGCCTGTCCAGGTATCTCACCCGCTGCGTCCCGTTGAGGAAGCGGCACTCGACCTTCCACTGGGCCAGGAAATGGGCTGCGAGGGGGAGGAAGGCTGTCAGGAGGGACTCCAGGGCCCATCGTTCCCAGCCGCTGGTAAAGGAGGGGGGACCCACTTGGGAAGGGGGAGGGGCGGGGGACTTTTCTTGGACAGACTGGCGGAAGACGCCCCCTGGAGGAGGGAGCGGGAACTCTCAGTCCCAGAGAGGAAGGGAGGCTTCCTGGGGGGTCTGGAGGGGGGAGGGGAGGGAAGAGGGGGAGGGGTGGGAAAAGGCAGGCAGAAGCTCAACCGGTCCAGCGATCCCATTCAGTCTCTGCAGGGAAGGTTGGATCTCAAGGGGCAGGAAGGACGGGGGGGGGGGGGCTGGAGAGAAAGTAACATCCATCCCCCCCACTCTCTCTTCCTATGGGGAGGGGCCACAATGAGGACATCTAGACCGACTCTCCTGGGGTCTCCCAGCCCTTCAGTCTTCACCTTCCCTCCGTCTCTCCCCCCTTTTCTTCTTCCCCTGAATCTTCGGCCCAGCTCCCTCCCTTTGGGTGGACTGTGGAGGATCCCCCCTTTCCTCTCCCCCTCCCCAAAAAGACCCCCTGCAGTTCACAGACAGTGAAGTTTCTGAAGAAGCCCAAAGACTTTTGCTCAAATGCCTCTTTTCCCTTCTGGGGATTCAGGGCTGAAAATGCCTCAGTTTCCCTCTTTCGCTTTCGCTTTTCCTCCCCTTCCACTTTCCATGCAGCCCCCTCCCACCCAGGCCCTGGGGGAGGGGTGAGAGAGATGCGACCCCCACTGCGGTTACAATCGGGGAAGGGGCGAGGGGTCCCTCTCCGTCCTCCTGGGGGGGTGGATGTGGGGAGGAAGGGGGAGGAGACCACGCAGAGATCGAGGTTGTTGGAGGCTCTGGGGACCCATCGGCTTTCTTCCCCTCTCCGGGGGTCCTTCCCAGCCCCCTCCTCCCCCGCCCAGCCCCCTCCTTACCGGGGGTCTCCTTCCCCCCTTCGCTTCCGGGGATCCGGGCCAGCGCCCCCAGCAGCAGCATCAGGGGGACCCCAGGAAAAGCCATGGCTGCTGCCCCACAAGCGCCCCAAAGGGAGGAGAAAGACGCTCCCAGCCCCACAGGAGGAATCGGAGGGTCTGGAGGGGGGGAGGAGGTTTCCTCGGACTTTGGAAGAGGGAGAGTCCTCAAAGAGCAGGAGGACCAATGGGAATCCTCCCTTCTGCAGCGTCATCGGTCTCCGGGCAGAGCCTCCCTTGACTTCGCCCGATACAGGAGATAGTTCTGCGCAGAGAGAGAAGCGGAGAAAGTGGGGGAGGGGAATCCCTTCAGTCTTGGGGGGCTGCAATCTGGGGGGTCTTTCATGCCAGCTCCGGAGGAGAATCTCCTCTTCCTTTTGCCCCCCTCCCCCCCATGATTCTCCTCCAATCTCCCTTTCTCTGGGCGCCTGGACTGGAGGGGCGGACTAGATGCCCTTTGAGTTCCCACAGTGCCCAGAAGGAGCCTAAACTGGAGCTGCGGAGAGTCCAGGAGGGCAAAGTGGATCCAGAGCTCGAGGGTCCTTCGGGGCTCAGAAGGGGAGGAGGGAGCCCCCAGCAGCTGCCCTGGATGACAAGGGGGGAGGGGCAGCCCCACAGCCAGCCGGGACTTGGGGGTCACACGCTCCCCCCAATCCGAAGGGAAGCCAGGAAAACCCTCAGCTGACAGTCCACGCAGGATCTGCAGGGATCCCTCCTAATCCAGCCGGATCCCCCCCCCTTCACAGGGAATCTCCGTAGGGATCTCTTGGCTTTACAAGAGAAAAGGGCGTTTCCCTTCCTTGAAACACGCGTCTCCCTTGCTGAGAACGTCTGGACGGACCGGCTCCTTCAGGTTTCCCGCCCCTGAACCCCGGCTGTGTAGGAATCTCCCTCTTCCTTCCTTTCTGTGGGTCGGGATCCCCCTTTTCCTTGCAAAGCAGCCCCGGATGAAGATCCCGGAATGAAGTTCGGCTGTTTCTCCTCTGCTTTGCGCTCCTTTCCTCGGAGAACGTCCACATCTTTGCCATAATGCACAACAATCTCTACTTTCAGCAGAGAAATATATAAAGTGACATTTTGGAAGAAATTTTGCCATCTGATTGTGCAGATCCTGATGAGATTTGCCTATTTTGGCTGTGGAACAGGAAGGCCCCTAAAACAAAAGGCTCCATTTTATGATGTTTCATGAAGATTATAAGGGCATAAAATGGAAAATAAAAGTATTAGGGAAATGGGGAAGGGAAAGGAAGGGGAAGGAGAAGTGGGGGATAAAGGGCAAAAGGAAAAAAGAGGGGAAAAAACTTTCCCCAGCATAATAAAATACAAAGTGAAATTGTACCCTCGGTTTTTATTTCTTCTATAAGTAAATATTAACCACTTTTATACCAACAACTTAATTTAATCAGTAAATCCCAAAAGTCCAGATTTCATTTTTTTTCTGCACAAAGTCCAGAAGGGGCTTCCAGGTGGGGTTAGGAATAAATCTCTTCTTTCCTCTGGTCAAAGTTCCCAAGTTCTCTGAGATGAATTTAGTTCTTCTGTAGGGAAGTTGAAGGAAATATTTCCCCAAAAGAAGAAGAAGAAAATCCATATCCACAGATATGACGTGTCAGAGGATCTGAGCGGATTTTCTTCCTTGGAAAAGATTTCAGGATTATTTAGGAAGGATGGATGGAGGGACAGTATATTAAACCGAAGAATAAATTCATAATTTATAGAATAACCTGGAATGTTAATAGAAATCCTGGGGACTTCAGGGATCCTATTTCCTCCACTATAGGATTACAGCCTTTTAACCATCACAGTCTGGAAATCTCTCCCCCCCCCCCCCCCGAAACTATCCCAAAAGGAAACCTTCTGCTTCTTCTACTCCTCTTTCACTTCATCCATAGAAAACTTTTTTTCTAGTCTTTATGGGAGATTCGGGTTCCTGTGAGTTACACAAAGGCGGCTTAGACAGATCCTGAATTCCGGATCCTATTTAAAGAGCTTTGTGGGTCCAGAGGTGGCCTGGATCAGGGGTGAAATGCTTCCGGTTCATACCAGATCGCCCGATCCAGTAGCGATGGAGGCGGGTGGTTCGGAGAACCGGTAGCAAAAATCCCTGCCCTCCAGTGGTGGGTTCCTCCCGGTTCGGCCCGGTTCTCCCGAGCCGGTAGCGGTGATGATATGATGTCACCGAACTGGTTCTGCCCCTCCCCCCGTGCCCCCTCCCCCCGCAGCCCCCCCACCCGCGTTATTCTTACCTTTTATTTGGTCCCACCCCCAATCTATTGCTGCCTCCTGAGTCCCAGCTGATGGCTAGAGGGGAAAAAAGCTGTTTAAACTCCTGCCGTGGGGCTTCAAAGGGCCGCCCTACAGCTGATCAGTGTTAAAAGAAAACAAATGAGTAGATCAGTGCCTGCAAAAAATAAATGGATAGATCGGTACAGCTCTGCAAGCAGTTAAAAGCCTGGTAGACCAGGACCTCTGCTAAGTCCTAAAGAACTGTCACATGACCATCAAGCCACACCCATAAAATAAGACACGCCCACAGAACCAGTAGTAACAAATTTTAGATTTCACCACTGGCCTGGGTCCTTTCCAGGGATGGGGGGCTGGAGGGGTCAAACTCCCCCCTGGCCCAGCACCAGCCTCAGCAGCCCAGAGCCAGGTCCCCCCCAGCAGCTGAAGGAGGCGGCAGAGTCCGCATCTGCCCCACAGTTGTGTATCTGACACAGCCACTCACACACAGTCAGCCCCAGATCCAGGCAGCCTCTGTGGGGCCTCCATCCCTCACCTGACCCAGGCAGAACCTCTGGGCCCCTTTCATGCTTCCAACCCCCCAAATATTGCGATTTTCTCTGAGTTCCCTCTGACACACACACATACACATACACAAATACACACACACAGAGTTTCTGTCTCCAACCCCCAACAGCTGCAGAGGCGCTGGTTCTCCGTCCTGCTCTGCGTGGGCAACATTTCCTCCTCCGGATGCAGGACTGGGGGTCGGGCTTCCTCAGGCACCAGAGAGCGGCAGGAAAGGGGGGATCGGCCCCAGGGGAGGCGGGCAAGGGGGCTTGGAGACCCCCAATGACCTCCCTTGTGCCCTGAGCCTCGGGAAGGTGGGAAAAGCTAAAAGGCTACTGAGGTTAGAGGTGGGGGCAAGGACCAAGGAAGGGGAGACCCCCTTGTTGCCCCCCTTTAGGATTTCTGCATTCGGCTCCACTCTCCCCTTCTCCCCCCTCTCTGGACAAGGGGAACTGGGCTCCTCTTCCAGGAACTGAGAAAGGGGGGAGGGGGAGGAGAGATCCAGGGAGATCAGGCAAGGCTGAGAGAGGAATGGGAAGTGAATCTGTTGAGGGAGGGGAGTTCGAGGAGGGCCTGAAGCTTCTCCCTCCTTGTCTTGGGGAAGTTTCAGCCTATACAGCAGCCCAGAGGCTTCCTGGTGGTCTCCCATCCTCAGGCTCACCAGGCCCATCTCTCTCAGCTGGGTGAGGGCATCGGAGGCTGGGCAGCTGCCAGCTGTTGAGGGCTGAGGATCAAATGCCAGCTAATGGTTGGTGATGCCAGATCAGAGCCCCCACCCTCTCCCAGCTGCAGCAGGCAGACATCCCACAGGGCGCCTATCCTGAGGTGGCCTGGATCCTCTCCTGGGATGGGGGTGGGGAGGCAGCACCAGCCTCAGCAGGCCAGAACTGGGTCCCCCCCTGCAGCTGAAGGAGGCGGCAGAGTCCGAACCTGCCCCACAATTGTGTGTTTGGACACAGCCAGTCACACAAAATTGGCCCCAGATCCAGAGAGACTCTGGTGGGATCCCATCGCTCTCCTGATCAAAGCAGAACTTCTGGGCTCTTTTCAGGTTTCCCCTCCCCCACAAGACTTTGATTGAGTTCTTCCTGACACCCCCCACGCCCCCCCCCCACACAGAGCAGCCCTTCTTTCTCCAGCCCCCAACAGCTGCAGAGGCGTTTGGGCTTCGCTTCCCCAGCATGAAGCTTTGGGCTCCTCCGAAGCAGAACTGAGAAACTGGCCAGGATCCAGCAGGCAACAGGCCTCGATTCTTCATCAGGGCAGCTCAGGGACTCCCCTCCTCCTCCTCCGCCCCATGGCTGAGTCTGCAGGTGGGGCAGCCACAAGGTCCTCTGCCCCATTGGAAGCGGCTGAAGGGGCCCTTCCCCACCACCTCATTATAGCTCTCTAGTCCTTTTCTCCATCAGTTAAAGCCCATTGAAGAAAGGAGTCCTTGACTTATGACGGTTCATTTAGTGACCTTTTGAAGTTACAATGGCGCTGAAAAGTGACTCTTCGCCTACTATTCCTTCTTTTTAAAGTATTTTTTATTGCTGTGAATGTTTTTTTTAATCCTGTCATGTAAATTACCTGTTTTTAGCTTTGTTGTATGTGACACTTGTGAGATGGGTGGCTATATAAATTTCAGATACATAGCTAGATAGACCCTAACCCTTATATTTTGAATATAAGCAGACAGTAGAAGCGTATTTGTTCCCATCAGTGTGTTGTCCATTCATTGCAGCCTCTTTAAATACCTTCCAATTTCTGTCCTTGAAGGAATCTTCTCGTAGAGCCTCCACGGCTTCTGCCGGCCACAGTCTCCCTAGTTCTCTCCTGGGTCCTCTCTGATTCACCAAGGCTTCTATGCTGACGGGAGCCTCCCAGAGAGAGGATCGGAGGGGCCAGGAGGAGGAGGGGGAGGGGTGGCTTTCAAGGCTCCCTGGGGGTTGGAGAAGGCCCCGTCCAGGGTCTCCCCTCCCCTGGTGGCAAAGGCCCCGTATGGGGGGAAAGGAGGGGGGGCTGCTTTCAAGGCGGCCTCTGGTCTGCTGGGTTTCCCAGGAGCCTCTTTCCTCTTCCACCAGGCCCAGAACCTGCCTCCCAGGTGAGGCCAGGGGAGTCCAAGCCCCCCATGACTCTTGGGGGGAGCTTCCTCCGGGCCTCGGCTAATTCACAGAAACTTCCATCTCTTTCCTCTGGTTGGTTGGGAGGCTCCGAATATTCCCCCATCCCTCTTTTCCCCTCTTTTATCTCAACCCAAATGCATTGAAGGAGGTTTTCCTCTTTCTTCCTTTGCGTTTCTATGGCAGTGTGGTTCTTTTTTTTTTAATATCCCCTTCTATTACATCTGTTTCTTTTGAAGCCTTCAGATGTGAAGCTCTCCAGTCCAAAAGCTGGAAGAGGAAAGTGGACGATGGTGCCAAACTCCCCGTTGTCCTTGAGAGCCTGGGGGGGCTCCTGCCTGAGGGGATCTGCACTCCGATTGGCTGCTCTGGGTGGAAAGGGGTTGTTTCCCCCTTTTCCCGCCTTTTTCTTCCGTGGCCTGTGGGAGATTTACCTCAGGAGGTTCCTGAGGGTTTTTCGGCTGCTCTGGGTGGAAAGGGGGCGTTTCTCCCTTTTCCCGCCTTTTTCTTCCGTGGCCTGTGAGAGATTTACCTCAGGAGGTTCCTGAGGGTTTTTCTGCCATTGGGACCTTTGGGGTTGAGCCTCCTCCACGTTCTCCCACGCGGCCTTGCAAGGGGAGGCATTGCCCACAGGAGCCCAACTCTTCTCCGTCTTTGGGAAAATTCCTCCCATCACACAGCGGCCGAGTCCAGGGCCGGATTTAGATTGAAAGAGGCCCTAGGCTATTCCACTTATGAGGCCCTTTCACCAGTGGTGGGATTCAATTTTTTTAACAACAGGTTCTGTGGGCGTGGCTTAGTTGGGGGTGTGGCTTGGCAATCATGTGATTGGGTGGGTGTGGCTAGCTGGTCACGTGACTGTGTAGGCATGGGTAGCTCGTCATGTGACCGGGTGGGCATGGCTATGTGCATAGACTTTTTTCAGAGGGCTGAAAAAAGTCATTTCTGACTGGGCCTCGCACTTTTGACCGGTCCTCACACTTATGACCATCCTCACATTTATGCCCATGCAGCTTTCTTAACAACCATGTCACTCATTTCACAACTGCTTCTTTTCAACATGGTGACAAGATAGGGCAAAAACGTAAAATGTGAGGACAGTCATAAGTTCGAGGACTGGTCAAAAGTGCGAGGACCAGTCAAAAATAACTTTTTCAGCCCTCTGAGTAGTCCATATGCACAAAAGGACTACCCAGAGGGCTGAAAAAAGTCATATCTGACTGGGCCTCGTACTTTTGACCGGTCCTCACACTTATGACCATCCTCACATTTATGCCCGTGCAGCTTTCTTAACAACCATGTCACTCATTTCACAACTGCTTCTCTTCACCATCGTGACAAGATAGGGCAAAAACGTAAAATGTGAGGACAGTCGTAAGTTCGAGGACTGGTCAAAAGTGCGAGGACCAGTCAGAAATAACTTTTTCAGCCCTCTGAGTAGTCCATATGCATTAAAGGATACAGCAATAGAGAGGGATGAAGGAATGGAAATTAGAGTAGGAGTGAGGGTAAGAGAGGGAGGAAGAGAGGAGGAGAAGGAGAAAGGAAGAGGAAGTAGGGAGCAGAGAAGAGGGGGGGAAGGGAAAGTAAGAAGGAAAGAAAAGAGAGAGGTGGTAGGTTTGAGGAGAAAGATTGCTGTACAATAAAAAAGATGAAAGGGAAAAAAGCCAACCCCAAACAAATATAAAGATATTAAGATAAAGAATGAATTGTTAAACTTTAAAGAATAAAAGAGAACAAATATGAATAAATGACAATAATTAGAAACACACCTACAAACATACAATGTATTTTCTTTGAACAGAGTATTTGGCCGGTTCACAAATTTAAACAGTGTTTAGTCATTTCAATTAAATTTACAATTTCTATATTTCCTTTTTGCCATATTTATTCCTCATCTATTTTTGTAAAAAACCAATATTACCCTTCATCCTCATCTCTAATCTTAATCAAATTCAATTTTTCCCTTCTGTTCTATATTATACCCCTTCCCATTGTCATCTATTTTTATATCCATCCTCACATTGGTTAATTATGTAATATTAGTTGTTTAATATAAATTCAACATTTTAATATAAATCAATTAGTTATATAACTACCTTTTTTGTATATTAATCAATATGAACATGAATATTCCAATTATTTCCATGCAATCCAATTTCTTACAAATCCATTAATTATATTTACCAATAATAATAAACCAAATAATTTCCCCCATATATTCCTCCAAACCACAACTTAACCATTTCTGCTTTCAGAAATATACAATTAATAGTATCTCAATTATTACAATTCCCTAGTTAAATAGAGCTTTTTTTCTTTTGTGTTTTAAAATTCTGAACTCTCCTCTTTTTCCCTAAATTTCCCATTGTTTGCACCTACCTTTTTTGGTGAGGAAAAAGAAAATAATTCTGCCTGCCTAATTTTCCAACCTTGCAGCAACAGCAAAGCAGTTTCAGTTTCGTTTCTCAGCATAGCTAGGGGGAAAAAAAATCAGCACTCTTTGCAAGGAAGCAGAAGAGCCCTGAGCAAAACAGCTGAGACAAATCAGCTGAGAGCCGGGAGGCCAATTAGCCTCTGCTGAAGCTCCGGGGGCCAATAAAATTACAAAAAAAACACCGAACCCTTTGTTAAATAGCTGGCTCCCCCGCCCCTCGCCCACCACTATTTATTGGCAATAAATAGTGGTGCGGAGGGGCGGGGCAAGCCAGCAATTTAACAAAGGGTTCGGCTGCACCACTGGCTCTAGGGCGGCCCTTTGAAGCCCCGCATGCAAGAATTTGAAGTTTTTTTTCCCTCTAGCCATCGGAGGCAGCAATAGATGGGGAGTGGGCGGGGTAAGCGAACGGCCGGTGATCCAACAGAGCAGAGAGTGAGGGTGAGCGAAGGCGTGGAAGCTGCTTTCTCCATCCTGCTCTCTTGCGTCCGGAGCCGGTGGGGAACCACGTGGCAGCCCACATGGATCCCAGGCAGCGGAACTCAGGCTAGGGAAGGGGTGGGCAATTGTGGCTCTTTCACAACCTGTGGCCTTCAACTCCCAGAATTCCTGAGGCAGCCAAGCTGTCTCAGGAATTCTGGAAGTTGAAGTCCACAGGTTGTAAAAGGGCCACAGTTGCCCACCCCTGGCTACGGTAGGCTGGGGCCGCGCGGGTGGGAGGCGAGGGGTGGGCGAGCCAGCAATTTAACAAAGGGTTCGGCAGAACCCCCTAGAACCCCCAGAATCCCACCACTGTGTAGGCCCCTCTTGATCTTGAGGCCCTAGGCTGAAGCCTAGTTAGCCTATAGGAAAATCCGGCCCTGGCCAAGTCTTCCTGCGGTGGCCCCAAGACCCCAGATGAGGGAGGGGAGGGGGAAACTCTGTGAAAGTCCTGCAGAGCCAGTCTGGATGAGCTCTGAGGGGGGGAGGCTCAGTTGGAGGGCTGCCCAGGGTCAACTGGGGATGCTGGGGAGAAGGGAGGGGTCTTCCATTCAGGGCTGCTCCATTGAACCCCCCCACTTTCCCCCAGAACTGGTCTTCCCCTCCGGGGCAAACCAGGAATGGCTGAAGGTGAATTTCTTGGAGGTCATCTAGTCCAACCCCTGCTTGACCATTTATACCATCGAACAGAGGAGACCCTATAAACCATTAGAATCTGAGCCCCAAAGAGGGAGAGAGGGAGGGAAGGAGTCGTTGGGTGCCAAAACGGAGGAGGACCCTCTGGTTGTGAAGGAGACAAATGGCTCAAATGGCTGGGTGAATGCGGGGGGAGTCTGAGATGCTCCCCCAAAGGGCTCCCCACAAGTGCTTGGGGAGGACTGTGCCTGCTTGCATTCTGGTCCTCCAAAGGGGGCTTGAGGGGAAACAGAGCAAGGGGGCCTCCAAGCAGGAGGGGGGTCCCACCTCTTCCCCTCCCCAGATCTGCCCACCCTCCTCCCGAACCACTTCTGCCTTCGGACCCGAAGTAGCCAGGATGGTGGATCCAGAGGAAGCGGAGGGAGGAGCCTCCTGTGACGGCAGGAAAGAGGAGGAGGAGGATGAAGAGGAAGGAAGGGAGGATTCCAGGCTTTCCTGCTTCTAAAGTTTATTCTTTTAGAGCAAAGCGAAGGGAAGTGACTCGGAGGACGAATAATGTAGATGAAGCTGCTGTGGGTTCAAAGCCAGGAGAGATGGGGAGACAGGTGGGCCCAGCGTCCCTGGGGACAGTCTAGATCAGGGTCCTCAAACTTTTTGAACAGGGGGCGGATTCAGTCCCTCAGACTGTTGGGGGTGGCAGACTGCTCCCTGGGCGTGGCTAAGTGGTCATGTGACAGGGTGGGTGTGGCCAATTTAACAGTCCATTTATTTGCCTTTCTCCTCCCTAAGCTCCTGTTTAAATTGTTTTCAAAGACTTTTAATTGAAAGCAGGACTTTACAAGCCCAGAGCTGCTTTTCAAGGCTGCACCGGCAAGATCTCCCCTCAGCCGGCCTCCCAGTTGGCTCCCTGGAAGAGAGGACCCATGGTGAGGGGCGGGGCTTAATCACACCACTCCGCGGGCCAGATACTTTGCATTGGCGGGCCGTAGTTTGAGGATGGCTGGTCTAGATGGTCTCCACCCCTCCCTCCCAAGAAAGAGCGGCCCTGAAAGGAAGCTGGGGGGGAGGGGCTCAGCAGGAGAAGGTCCAGGCTGCCATTCTCCTCCTCTCCCAACCTTCAGCCTCCATTTCTCAGAGGTTGCAAACAGGACAAAGAGTCATCAGCCACTAAAGAAAAAATATCCTTTTGCATCGGAGAGCAGGATTAATTCATGAGTGCTGTAGAAAAAGAGATGGGGAAGAAAATTAGAAGATAAAGAGACACTCTTAGTGTCAATAACATATTTTTCATCCTTTTCAGCCCCCACCCCCAAGGCAGGCCCAGATGGTTGACAGACAGCGACGGATAGAGGGAGAATCCGCCCATTTCAGGGATTCCTCCCCATTTCCTCTCCAGGGGATTCTGGAATTCTCCCTAATTGTCTTAATTAGAGGGTTAATCAAGAGGGGAAGCCCCCCTCCCTGCAGACAATTCATGTGAACAGAGAAGATGGGGCTAGGATGGGGGTGGAGCAAAGGGGGGAGCCTAGGGGTCACTTGGCCAGAAATTCTGTGAAACGTCAAAAGAAGAAGGGGGGTCAGGAAGAACAGCCCACAACGTTGTGGTGCTCCCTCCCCGAGGGAGGAGATTTTGTTCAGGCATGGTTTTTTCAAAAAAAGGAACAAATAAGGCATTAAAAGCCACCAATAACTTGTAGGAGGGGTTGAGATGAGGGGGAAGAGGAGAAACTCACCTGCAGGAGGTTGGATGGGAGTTGCTGGAAGGAAAAAAAGACCCAATCAGGACCCTTCATGGGCTGGAGGACTCAGCGGGACCCCCTCCCCATCGATAGCCCATAATAGGTTGCAGGATCTTCACTTATAGCCCCTCCAAAAACAGAAGTTCCCATAAATATTCCTCAAGGGGCCCCTCTTGGCCACCTGCTAAGCTTGAGGAGAGGCCTCCTCTAGAGGGTCCCCTCCCCACCACCTCTCCTCCGGCCCCCCAGACTCACCTTTCTTGCTCTTCAGGTAGGAGAAGAGCCCCACAGCCAGGAAGGCCACTCCTATCACGGCCCCCATGATCCCCGTCCAGAGTTTGCTCCTGGCAGAGCTGGAGGAACGGGGCTCTGGGGAAGGAGAAGGAGCCTCCCCTGAGCAGGAGGATCAGGCCCACCTTCCCCCAGGAGGCTCCATTCTGGCTCACCCCACAGGGAGGGTCTCTCCCCCTTCTCAAGGCAGGATGAGGTCCCCAGATCAGGAGGGGAGGGAGGGCAGGTACTTACCCCACTGGACGGTGATGGGGACCTCCAGGCTGGCATGCCCCACCTTGCAAGTGTAGACGTCCCCCCGTTGGGGCTGGGTCTCCAGCATCACCTGGAGCTGATAGGTCCAGTCTCCGTTCTGGAGCTCCTCCCCAAAGGCCACGCCCTCCTCCTCCGGCCGCCCGTTCTTCAGCCACTGGACCTCGATCTCCACGGGGTAAAAGCCGGTCGCGGTGCAGAGGAGGATGGTGTTGGGGGAAGAGGGCTCCATCTTGGTGGGGGAGATGGAGACGGTGGGCTTGGCTGGAGGGAAGGAGGGGAAGGAGCCACATGAGAGACACAGGAGGGTCCAGAAGGGAAGACCAAGTTGGTTAGTTCAGGCCAAGATCTCTTTTCACTCCTAAAAATATTCTGTCTTTTGAGTGTCTGTGGAGATTCTTGGTCTTCCAGGTCATGGTTCTCCCAAAGGGGCTTGGTGTGTTCTCGAGCAGACGATGAATTACAGAGGTGGATTATAATGGTAAGTATTTATTTACCTCACAGCTACAGCTCTAACACAATTCAGAAGAAGTACAATACGAAGAACCTTGAACTCAGCCTGACAGCTCTTTTATACCGTCAGACGGCTTAACCAATAGGAACATCCAACGTTCCAAAGGATCCCAACAGGGGCCAATTCTCTTGAGCATGCTCAGAACACAACACCCCTTTCCCCTGGAATGGTGCATGCATAATCCTCGAGGTATGCGGGTCGATGTTGGAGACGCCCTGAGCGCCTCGGGCTCACCCTAGGCAGGTGTTCTGTCTGGACAGGGACATTCCTACCCCTAGGACTTTCCACAGACCGATCTTCAACTGGATCAACATGCACTGGCCCTGGACTGTCTTCCTGTACCCTGGGTGAGTATTCTCGAACTGCCCCTCTGCTACTGGTAGGTGTTGGATTGCACGGTTCGTTATTCCAATCGGGAGAATGGGTGTCCACAAACCCCGGCTCAACCCTATCCATACCCCTGTCTGTCTGTTCACTAAGCTCGGTAGGCGGCACCTTCCTAGCCCTGATTTGATCCTGGTGCCGACGCCAGACTCTACCTTGACCCATATCTATTTTATAAGAACACGGCCCGGTTATATCTATCACCCATCCGGGAATCCACAACGGGGAACCCCCATAATTCCTGGCATAAACTGAATCCCCCACCCCGAAGGGTCTGGTTGTACTATGGGAGTCCAGAGGTTTACTAGGGGCATATAGAGGATGCAAGCGATCCAAAACTGTCTGTAAACGCCGGCCCATAAGTAACTCTGCGGGGCTCCAGTTCGTGACCGGGCAGGGTGTCGTGTGCTGTACTATCATATACTCAACCAAACGCTCCGGCCATGCACCCGGGCCCATACGGCCAAGCGCGTCCTTTGCTGAGTGAACAGCCCTTTCCACAAGGCCATTAGCCGCTGGGTGGTAAGGCGAGATGAGGCAATGCCAAATGCCCAGCCTTGCCAGGAACAGCTCGAACACTGATGCCGTCAGTTGAGGACCATTATCCGACACCAGAAGGTCGGGCAACCCATGTGTGGCAAAAAGTGCGCGCAAAAACCTTATGACAGCGTTGGATGTGGTGGAGTCCATTAGCACCAATTCCACCCATTTCGAATACGCATCTACGACCACTAAGAACATCTGCCCATGGAAAGGGCCAGCAAAATCTAAATGTATGTGGGACCACGGACCCATAGGTTCCTCCCACTCGCGGGCTTTTTCTTTAGGGGGCAGTGGTTGTGACTCCTGACAACGCTGACAAGAGGCCACCCAATCTGTGATGCTTTTATCTAGGCCGGGCCACCAGACGTAACTCCTTCCCATAGCTTTCATCCGGACAATACCGGGGTGACCGGCGTGCAGTGAGACAAGGACGGCCTTTCGAAGTGGCTGTGGGACCACCACCCTGTGACCCCAGAGTAAACAACCCCCTTGGGCTGATAATTCCAGTTTCCTGGAAACATACGGTTGCCAGGGGGACCCCAATTTCCCCGAAGGCCACCCCCTTTTAACCCAGTCCAGGACTTGAGAGAGTTCAGGGTCACGAGCAGAGTGGCGGGCAATGTCAGCAGCAGTTAAGGCAAAAGAAGAACTGTCAATCAAAAACACAGCCGAAGCAGGTGCTGGGTCACATAAGAAGGTGGTCACGGGGCAACGACTCAGAGCATCTGCATGGGCCAGATGCTTCCCAGGCACGTAGGTAAGTGTATATTGGTAAGCAGCCAAAAAAACGGACCAATGGGTAAACCTGGGGGACAGGATTTGTGGTGTTTGTTGATCACCCGCAAGCAAACCTAGTAAAGGCTGATGGTCCGTAGCTAAGGTAAACAGGCGACCATAAAGGTAGTAATGAAAACGCTTTACCCCCGCCACAAGTGCCAAAGCCTCTTTGTCCAGTTGTGAGTAATTCCGTTCAGCGGGAGCCAAGGTACGGGAAAAAAATGCCACAGGGGCTTCGGACCCATTCGGAAACCTGTGGCTAAGGACGGCACCGACCCCATACGGGGAGGCATCACAAGCTAGAATAAGTGGAAGATTTTCACAATACTGAGTTAGAACAGAATTTGACACAAGCAATTGTTTGACCGCTCTAAAGGCAGCAGCGGCTTTCGCGGTCCAGTTCCATGGAGCACCCCGGTCCAACAGCCGGTGGAGGGGCTCTGCCATGGATGCCTTATGAGGTAGAAAAACAGCATCAAAGTTTAAAAGGCCGAGGAAGGCTTGAAGTTCAGATTTGCACGTAGGAACGGGAGCATCCAGTATAGCTTTAGTTTTCGCTTCTGTAGGATGAATTCCTTTGCTATCGATTAAGAACCCAAAAAATTCAACTTGAGGTACAGCAATGCTACACTTAGACTTCTTAACTTTGAGTCCTACACTCCTAAATTTGGACAGGACACAACGAAGGCGGTCCATCAGCTGAGATGTGCTGGTTGCAGAGACCAGCACATCGTCCAAATACGGTAGCACTCCGGGAATTCCATGGAGGAGCCTCTCCATCAAACTTTGGAAAATTCCCGGGGCTACGCTCACGCCGAATTGCAAGCGGCGGCATCGGAAAGCTCCCCAATGCATGACAATGGTCTGTGCAGTGGCCATCTCATCATCCACAGGCAACTGCTGGTATGCCTGTGCTAAATCTAACTTGGCAAAGACTGACCCACTTCCCAAGGAATGTAGCAAATGCTGCACTACCGGCACGGGATAAGCATGTGACAACAATGCCTGATTAATAGTAGCCTGGTAGTCTGCACAGATTCAGATTGAACCATCCGCCTTAATGGCGATGACGGTTGGGGTCTCCCAGGGGGCGATCAACAGGTTCTAGGACCCCCTGTGCAATGAGTTTGTCCAATTCTGCGTCCATCTTTGGACGCAACGCCAAGGGAACACGGCGTGGTTTTAGTCTTCGCGGTTGGACCTGGGGATCCAAACTAAAAGAAACAGGGGTGCCTGTATATTTTCCCAACTGGTCATCAAATACACCTGGGAATTCCTTACATAATTCGTCAAGTTCAGTAGACCTAATGGCATTTACGCCCTGAACGGTGAGACCTAAGGCATCAAAACAATTAAGCCCTAGGAGGCTTGGTAGGGGCCCATCCACAACCACCAATGATAAATATCCAGCAAATCCCTTAAAACGAACCCTGAAAGAACCACGGGAATTGCCCCCCTTTGGTAATCTCGCAGAATCACATTGCAAGGGTTTAGCCTCCTTTTTGAAATCTTCGGAACAAGACGTTTTATGGTGGCCCAGGATATGATGGAGGTGGCTGACCCTGTGTCCACCTCCATGCGGCACGGCCTTCCCTCGATGTACACAGTGAGGTGGATTTTATTTTTAATGAGCCCTTCATCTGGAACGACCATATGGACTGTGGAGAAGCTCCGGGCATCGCGGCTGCACTCTGTCGTCAGGCGGAATCGCCATTGTCCTTCCTGGTTACTAGGAACCCTCGCTCTAGACTGCGGCTGCGCGGACCGGCAGGCTCTTGCTTTGTGGCCTTGCCGGCCACAGCGGTGGCAGACGGTGTCTTTAAACCTGCACGAGGCACGTAGATGGTCCCCTCCGCAACTATAACACTCAGTGACTGCTCCTCTCGGTGACTTAGCCACGAACGTTTTAGCTCTCGCCTCATGTACTCTGCAGACATCCAGCTCGCCATCTGAGTCGGATAGGCCACCCTCACTTGTCTTATTCACTAATAAAGCTTCCCTATTCGGCGTGGGTGGGCTTTGTCCCCGGGGCAGCTCCGCAATTGATAGATTAGCCAATTCTGCCGCGCAGGCCTCATCAAGTGCCATTTGGAACGTCAGTTTATGGTTCACGATTAAACGCCTTTTAAGGTTCTGATCTCTCACTCCGCTCACTAGCTTGTCTAAGAGATAGTCATCCAGGTTCACAAACTCGCAATGGTGTGCAAGCTTCCTTAACGCGGCGACATATTGGTTTATTGTCTCCCCAGGGGCTTGATCCCTATGGTAGAATTGCTGTCTGCGGGCAATTCTAGAAGGCGCAGGGGCGTAATGGCGTTTCAATTTATTCATGAAAGCCTCCCACGTTCCAGCATGTATGGATTGAGGGGCCATCAACGTCATAGCGGTATCGAACATTTCGGCCCCACAGAAACTGAGGAAATATGCGCGTTTGCGCTCAGCAGACAAGTTCGTGTAGTTGTTTGCGATTAAAAAATAGTCAAAACAGGCCACATATGCCTCCCAAGTCTCAGTAGCCGGATTGAATGGAGGAAATGTCTGTGAGGACACCATTATCGTTGCGTCTTAAGACTCACGACTCTCCTCACCTCAGGCTGTCAGTTTACCTCAGGCTCATCTCACACCTACTATTGTTAATTTGCCAGATTCAACATCCCATCCTCGTCGCCAGTGGTGTGTTCTCGAGCAGACGATGAATTACAGAGGTGGATTATAATGGTAAGTATTTATTTACCTCACAGCTACAGCTCTAACACAATTCAGAAGAAGTACAATACGAAGAACCTTGAACTCAGCCTGACAGCTCTTTTATACCAACTGTCAGACGGCTTAACCAATAGGAACATCCAACGTTCCAAAGGATCCCAACAGGGGCCAATTCTCTTGAGCATGCTCAGAACACAACAGGGCTTTTTTTCCAAAAGGCAACTGGATTTTGTTTTTCCATGAAGACATTTTGCTTCTCATCCGAGGAGCTTCTTCAGTTCTGACTGTCCCAATTGAAGCTTCTTGGGTGAGAAGCAAAAGGTCTTCAAGGGAAAACAGA